AATGTGGAAGTAGTGCCAAATAGACAAACAAACAAAGCGGTTGGACATTTTAATGTGATTTTATAAGGAGTTAAACTACGACTCACTCGGTTTCTTGGTAAAAGTTTATTTAATTTTTTTTTATCTATTAGAAAAATTTTAAAGTTAACATAAAATTATGTGGATGCTTAAATTCACAACATCCTTCTTAAAAGATGCTGTGCCCTAAGAATTTATTAGTGGAGTGAAATGTTTGGATGAGGAAGGTGATACATTTGAAATGAGCCTATTATCCCTGTTCAGGTTTATAAATTCCTAAAATAAAAATGTCTATTTATTATCAAAAGCATATTGCGTTATTCAGCGCCTTGATAATGAATGAATTTGAAAAGTTAGTAATGCAAGTAGGAACGAAACACGTTAGTGATGTTCTGTTTGTTCTGCCCTGTATATCCTAGCCCATATGTCCTTTAGGTTGGAAGAAAGGGAATTTATCCTAATCTTTGGATCGAGGCATCTTCCGTATGGGGAAGATCTGGCAATTCAGCTTACGGTTGTTTGCAATAATTGCATCATCATTAAATATGAATATATATTTCTTGTTACTGACCCATGAAGCTAGACTTCTGACATTCAAGTTTTTTTGTTTTTTCCCTCTATGCTTGCTTTTAGCTTCGTAACTACCACAAATAGTCTCCCCAAATACAGATGTAAACAGAGTTTAGGTAAAGCTTTCAGATCATAATTTGCTAGAACAAAACCTGTAATAATTGTCCTCATTGGATCTTGATTTTTTGTTTTCTCCAGTGAACTCCTTGCTGAATGTGAAGCTAAGTGAGACCGATGCTGGCAAGCATGTTTCGATCAAGGACCTCCCAGGAGATGTCCTCATTGTCCCTCAGGCCACACTTGGTGGAAAGGTGAAAGGCCGTGGTATGCAGTACCATTCAAATGCTGGGAAGGAGCTGGGCATGGAATTGTATACCCAGTTTGTAACTCAGTGCCAACAAGAACTGGCGGTTCATGCTCCATGGGCGGAATCTGGATCTGTCTTACGGTTTGGAACATATGGAAACAGGCAGGTTCTGAAGATTGACACAAATGGACCTTACACACACCTATTGGAGTTCTGACCATCTTTCATTGCATTCCATGAAACTTTTAATCCTAATTTATTCACTTCTTTAACCCCTTAAGGACCAACTTCTGGAATAAAAAGGAATCATGACATGTCACACATGTCATGTGTCCTTAAGGGGTTAAACTTGAAGGGTGACATTGTATATTTCTTGTCTATATCATGTTTTTTGGCAAAACTGCTTTGTCATTTGAACCTTTGCAAAATAATAAAGGTTCTTCACATAGAGGCACATAACAAAATTCACCTCAATACCATGCTACCTCTTCTAGTTAAAGGGACACTATAAGCAGTGTAACCCCTACAGTCCGCTATAGTGGTAATGGTGTCAGGGGCTCCATTAAAGCCATCGCACAATAAGGAGTCAAACCATTAGGTATCTGTATGCCCTTTGATTATGAAATACCTAAAGTGCAAGTTCCACTTCTGCAAATGATGTAGCAATTTGTCCATATTTGAACTTCGTTCATTGACTGGGAATGTCAGCTGATGCTCTCTACCAATAAATCACTGCTGGAATTGATATTGGAAGGGGACTTCCTCTTTAAAGTGGCACTCCACTGCCAGAATAAAAAAAGATTTAGTAGCTATACTCCCAATAAAAACATGCTTGCATCTAATTATGCATTTTTCCCATTGAGGGTATATCAAAACAGCTTTCAAAAGCTGCAGATCTCGTCTGCAACCTTTGTAAGCCCTCCCCTTCTACCCACGCCCAGACTTTCTGTGACAGTCCAATCACAGACTTCCCAATGCAGCTTAATGAGAACGCTTTGCAAGGCAGGTGCTCTGGGCAACTGATGACTCTTTAGTTAAGTTCCACTGAGCTAAACTACCAGGATATAACAGGACTGGTTCCCTGAATGACAGCCAGTGGGGTTTAACAAGGTTAATTTATAGAACTGTCAATTTCTATTTTTTTGTAAAATGAAAACAGATAGGGCACATTCTTCACACATAAAGCATTTCAGCAAGCTGAAGTGCTGTAGGTGTTTGGAGTGTCAGAGAAAAAGATGTACTGGGGACCCAGGTAAATGTCAAATCGTTCAAAAGCAGTTTGACTCTTACTTTGTGACAGCACTAAGGGACTCCTGGCACCATAAGCACTACAGGCCGCTGTTGTGGTTATGGCTATAGAGTGCCCCTTTAAGATAAAAAATAGTTATGTTCAGGCCTTTTCTTTCAGTTTCTAGACCAGTTCAAATTACAATGAATGTGTCAGTGGCATTCTTATACATTGCTGGTGCCAGAATTCTTGTCTATTTGCCCCTTTGTGTGTCTCATACGTCCCCACCAACCCCTTTGTGTGTCTCTTACTTGGAATAAGGTTATTTAACCCTCTGAGTGCTGTGGGGGGAGAGGTGCAGAGGACACGTTAGTGTTAGGAATGCAGCATTGTGTTTCTTTGGAATACTCTTGTTTATTTTATTACTTCGAGTAGGCAATTATAGGTGCTACAGGTACAAACAAAATGATTCTATCCGGGTCCTCTAAGCATAATTTAGTTTGCAGAGTAAGAGAGTGCTCATGGAGATTAGACTGACCCTTTAAATACATATACATATGTATCCACATGATCGTTCCTTACATAAGTGTAAAGAAGTGTTCAGCTGTGTAACCATAAAACATCAGGCACGCTTGGGAGATGTACCTTTTACAAGTGTGGAAATACATGTGTGTTTGTATATATAAATGCAAATAAATCAACTTCGGTATCCCATGTTATGATTCGTGTTTAGAGAATTTTTGGATTTTAATGTATTGTCTGTGTTTAAGCCGTGTGTAAAACCAATGCAGTATGATGTTGGTATGTGTAACTGACAATATTTCCTGTTTTAAAAGCATGCCATATGTTTACCTGATTGAAATGTGAGCACTTAATCGTTTACAGTTGGAAAAAAAATGAACGTGGAAAAAACATGGACATTGGAATACTTTGCTTTGTATACTTTCTTACAATTATTCTTCTCACTGTATTGAAGCTTTGAAAGCACCAAGTCATAGTGTTCTGTTATTTTATCTCATACACTTTAAATTGCCTTGAGAGGTGTTTGGTAGAGAATTGAAATAGGAATTAACAACTTGCAGTAGGTTTTAGTAACTAGTTTCGCCCCAATATAGGGGCTTCTTCAGTACTGAAGAAGCCCCTATATTGGAGCAAAACGCGTTTTGGAATTTAGGACTAACTATTGGACTTATACTTTATAGAATACTCTCGATCATTTGGTATTTAGGCACTTTTTAAATATTATTTTTGTGATTTTAGCCATCATTACTTGCATTCAATAAAGGATCCTTCGCACAAGGCCCTTGTGTACTCTCTGTGTTCCATTTATAGGACCACCAACACAGGATCAGCAAGAAAAGGAGTTGGACATCCTGTTAAAGGATCACTATAGGGTCAGGAACACACACATGTATTCCTGACCCTATAATGTTAAAACCACCATCTAGCCCCCTGGGCCCCTCATGCTCCATAAATATAGTAAAAATCTTACTGTATTCAAACCAGAAGCTGTAAATCTGCATGCTGTTAGACTCAGAAAAACAAGCTGTCTAATGACATCATCAGAAGTGGTAGCCTGATCCAATCACAATGCTTCCCCATAGGATTGGCTGAGACTGACAAGGAGGCAGATCAGGGGCAGAGCCAGCATGATTCAAACACAGCCCTGGCCAATCAGCATCTCCTCATAGAGATGAATTGAATCAATGAATCTCTATGAGGAAAGTTCAGTGTCTGCATGCAGAGGGAGGAGACACTGAATGTTTGGATGCATTTTAGGCAGCCATGACCCAGGAAGGATCTCTAACAGCCATCTGAGGAGTGGCCAGTGAAGTTATCACTAGGCTGTAATGTAAACACTGCATTTTCTCTGAAAAGACAGTGTTTATAGCAAAAAGCCTGAAGGGAATGATTCTACTCACCAGAACAAATACAATAAGCTGTAGTTATTCTGGTGACTACAGTGTCCCTTTAACTGTCTATCTGCGCTTACCATCTGAGCCATATGTCTTAAATGGCTCCACACAGTTATACTCCTATCACTACTGATTTATATATTGTTTGTTCTGACAATATTGCGCTATTTTCTTTTACTTTTGTATCCTTCCAGACTCCTATTATATTTCAGCCTTGCAGCTCCACTTTATGTATGTATATATTTAGCAGTAGAAAGAGGGAAGTGCTCATGCCATTGTACAGAACACTGGTAAGACCTCACTTGGAGTATTGTACACAGTACTGGAGACCGTATCTTCAGAAGGATATTGATACCTTAGAGAGGGTTCAGAGAAGGGTTACTAAACTGGTTCATGGATTGCGGGATAAAACTTACCAGGAAAGGTTAAAGGACCTTAACATGTATAGCTTGGAGGAAAGACGAGACAGGGGGGATATGATAGAAACATTTAAATATATAAAAGGGAATCAACACAGTAAAGGAGGAGACTATATTTAAAAGAGGAAAAACTACCACAACAAGAGGACATAGTCTTAAATTAGAGGGACAAAGGTTTAAACATAATATCAGGAAGTATTACTTTACTGAGAGGGTAGTGGATGCATGGAATAGCCTTCCAGCTGAAGTGGTCACATTCTATGTTTCTATATTTGCTTTATAGAGGTGGTTTTGGGGGATTCCACTCAGGTGTTTGCGCTCATTATCTCATTTGCTCTCAATTGTGCACTCTGTCTTTTGATATTGTATAGGTTTCTGCTCTTGCTCAGCTGTAAGCTTATTGAATAATCCTGTCCATTTCATTAAAACAAACTGGAAAAAAAATCAAATCCCCCAAACAAATGAAACCGAAATAGGAAGTAAGATATAAAGCTCGCCTTTATTTGTAGTTGACTGTTTTGAAGATACGCCTGTCCGTTACAATGTCACTTGTGGATTATCTGTCACGGATTATCTTAATCTGTAAGTAAACAAGCTTTATTTCACTTCATTTGTAACTTTATTATAAAATGTTGATAATTAATGTTCTCATGTAAAGCACCAGGATATTTTTTTAGAGAAATTATCGAGCTTGCTGCAGTTAGAGAGCTTGGTACGTTTGGGAATAATATATTTTAAATTTAATGTTTAATAGGAATGATTTGCTAAACTGCTATTTTAGAGAGTTCAGGAACTTTTGGTTTTTTTTTTTGTCTTATTTTGCTAAATTAGTTTGTGGATTAAATTCTACAGTATAATGAATATGGTGGTAATGTTTGGCATTAACACTTGCGGGGTTATTAATTAATTAATTAGCAGCAGCTTTAGAATATAAATTTACATTTCAGGTTAAAATAGCCAAACGTAAACACGTCTAATCTAAAAGCGTTTATAACATCTGACAGAACAATTCAATATTATAAAGTGTGCTGAGAATTGAAAATGAATTTTACATTTTATAACACCGTAGCTGAATTGTAAATATCCTCCAGGTAATCTACGTTCTCAGTTCAGTTTTGATGGGCCTAAAACATGAAATTCATGACAATTCATTTTAGTGAATAACTGTGCAAGTGTTTGGGATGGTGGGGCAGAGCTAGAATGATAGAAAATACCACTGTGTGCTCCTGGGAGCAGCCATCTTTAACTTGTACCACTATAATGAGCTAAATTTAAACAAGTGTGAAATAGAAATGTATGATTTTTAGGATTGCAAAATGTTTCCAAAAATAAATTAATTTATGGACACTGGATCTCATACTCTATCATTTATATATTTTATTATTATTTTTCTTTTTCAGCAACTTCTCTGGAATTGTCAGGTAACTGTCATTTTTAATTTCCTTTTAAATGCAATGTTTGTTCAGGACCAATATAGTGTGTGTCTGTCTATCTATCCATCTACTAAGAGGAAAACTTTAGGATATGCCAATCCAAAAAATATCTGGTGGTTAATCCAGAAGAATAATCCAAAAGCACTCTGGGATTTGATTTAAAAACATTTTTATTTTATTATAGATCAACGTTTCAGATTTACATAAAATATTTGATAAAGTTTCAGTGTTAACAGACACATATTTATTCCACACACAACAAGAAAAAGTGTACTCACCCCGAAGTTCCCAAATGTGTACACCGAAATTGGTGTGGTTTGTAATTGTTTTGCGCATGCATGCGCGTGAGTTCCCAGTCCCTCAAAACTGCCTAGTGAGTGTTAGTAGCGTTGTTGGTTACCATAGTAACTGGAACGTGAATACATACGGTTTCTGTAAATAAAAACAAAGTGTCACATATTGGTTATAACTGGCAGCTAAAAACCATGAAACAGACACTAATCTGAATGTTTAACAAGGCACAGCATTGTGTATTACAAATAAATTGTACATGAACAATCCTCAATGCCTAATAAACATTGTGAAATACTTTAGATCTGCCCTATTTTAGAAGCAATTAGTCTTGCAAATAATGGTATTCTTTACCTTGATGGCTTGGTGAAATATACAAATAATTATGAGTATTTTGGGAGCTCTTTCCCGGGGACTGTAAGTTCTTTGCAGTATACCACACTGTGGTTATCAAGGTTTGAAAGAGTTTGTGGTGGTTAATGTATCTATGGTATAAGGGCGCCATCTATTGGGCGATCTCAATAATGTCCATCAAACATATATGCCTATATTAAGCAGCTAGAGGACAATGTGTGAAGTCTCTACTACTTCTATTATAGGGACACTATAGGCACTTAGATGACTATATCTCAACCAAATTGTCTGGTTGCCATGTCCCTTTCATGTAAAACATTGCCATGCTGCAGAAACAACAATACTTATATTGCAGTGTTTAAATTCCTCTAGTGGCTGTCATACTGACAACCACTAAAGACGCTTCTGTATCTGATTAGCGCATGCGTGCGGTGCTTGCCACATATGCGCATTAGGTTTCTAAACTGCCGTGACGTCGGCATAGGAGGTGGGACATCGGCACTGGTATCAGGTAAGTGAAAAATGAAATTTAAAATCTTAATTTGCAATGGGAGGGTGCAAGTAAGGGGGTGGCAGAGGGAACAATAGTGTTACAGGATTGCATTCTTAATACAATAGTGTTCCTTTAAATCCACCTCTACTGGCTGTCATACTATCATAGTAAAACTCAGTCCTTTGACATGGAAGCCCATAGGAAAGCAATGCTTTCTTATAGGGAAGCTTGGATGTGTACAAGGCTCAGGCCAAACATCAGGTCCCCTCTATGAGGAGCATTTTATTGGACCATTGTGGAGGAGGCCATGCCTCTTCCTTGATGTTGTGGGAGTCAGAGAGGTGAGCAGGAAAATGTGAGTAAAATAAATGAATAAATTGTTATTGCTCATGGGGGGACCTTTTAGAGCTAGGGACAGGGGCAATTTAGCATTCGAAATACAGGTTTTAATTCCAAACACTCTAGTGTTCCATTAATTTAAGGAATGTAATAATGTGACTTTCTTAGAACCAGTGGGAAGCCCCAGACAGAACAGTCATGGACCAAAAATAGAAAACAGCCCCTCAGTTGGGGAACAGAAATTTTTATTAATAATAGGATAATAACACATTTTTTAAAAACCACATGCTTTCACATACTTGAATATATTTTTTGTTTTGGGGAAGTCCTAGTTTTCTTACCAGAGTAATTAGTATTATGTTGGTTAATTTTTCGCTACTCTTCTTTAAAGTTAGAGAGGTCACTTTAAGCACCATAAACATTATAGTGTGCCATGGTGGGTATGGTGCCAGCATAGACTTAGGGACTGATGGGGACGGATCCCTAATTTAGTAGGAATTCAGTAAAGAAAGTGTTTTAAGCAAAAAAAAAGTGTTTTAAGGATGTGGAATTTTCTGCCTGAAGAAGTGGTTTTATCAGAGTCCATACAGATGTTTAAACAGCTACTAGATGCATACTTGCAAAAACCGAATATTCAAGATATAATCTTTCAATGTAGGGTAATAATTGCTTGATCCAAGGATAAATCTGACTGCCATTCCGGGGTCAAGAAGGAATTTTTTTCCTAGCTTGTTGCTCCGAGGTGGTAAAAGATCATTGTAAGCACACTAATGTAATCATAAACAAGCCACGGTCAAGTCATAGAGGTCAATATGAACATATGACTATCCAGTATCAGAACACCAGAAATGAGCCAGTGCATCGTGTTAGGGAAAAATAAAATAATTAAATAAGTCAGGGTCATAAAAAAAAATAATAGCAAGATCTATAATGAAGTCCGGGCTTGACCGTATCAACTGTGACACAAATATAGTGATCGGTGCTCAGTCTGTGGCTGTCTCTCTATGTATACACATTTCCCCTTTTAGTCATTCTTCCTGATGCAAACTGCTTTTGGCACTCAAGAAGGAAAGGTGATGGGAGGTCTGCGTCTGGTCCGTGATAGCATTTAGAGCAGGCTTTCTTTATGTGATTTGATAGCAGAGACAGCTTACCTACCCTGCTCCCACTCACTCCAACGAGTTATCTTGACATACAGTGCTGGGAGGAAGTGATTGGACATCACATCATTCCAGTGCTCTGCCTAAATAGACACCCCTCTCACCCACTAACACCAGGAACAATCTGCAGGCCTCTCATCTTCTTTTCATCTTCACCACCAACAACAGAATCAGTCGAGGAGAGAAGAACACTTAAATCTGTAAGTTTGTGTCTGTGTGAATTTATCAGTGTGTTTTTAGGTATGTGTGTGCGAGTATGGCTGGTGTGGTATCAGTGTAGTTCATTAGTTAGTGAGAGACGGTAAGTTAGGTGTGCAGGCCACTACTGGAAAATCTGCCTTCATCAACCTAACTACTAGCAAAATTTGTCAAGCCCTGAACTCAACTGAACCAATAATGGGGAAAGTGTTGTTGAAAGGTATTGTAAGTCTGAGCTTGTGATGGTACCCGCATTGCTAACAGCTCACCGTCATCCATTAACATTTTGATAATTATCAAAAGATACATGTTAACGAAAACATGAGACAGAGAAAATGGTTCCTTGTCAAGGTTGTGAGCTAGAAACATTGTTTCAGATTTAGCTGATGCATAGATGTACTACATGTGCTTAAAGGAACACCCAGGACACCATAACAACTTTATTTAAATAAAGGACCCTGTGCTACTGAAATGCTCAACACATAAGAATGTGGAGCTATTTCAGTGTTCTTATTAGAACAATTGATCATCCTCTATTTATTATCTTTACCCTGTTTTAGGTGTCTTTGGAATCACAGTCTGTAGAAACAGATATGTGAGTGGCGAAGTGGGGAGAAATGTTACTCTGCACTTGGATCAAACTAGAATCACATTTGCCACTTGGGAAGTTTGCATTGGAGATGGAGAGAGACATTCGATAGCTCATACTTACCCTGGAAAACCTATGGAGATTCTAGATCCCAGGTATACTGGAAGACTTAATAACACACCAGATGGATCCCTGATTATCAGTAAACTAACCAAGGAGGATCAAACGGTCTACTCCACAGGACTGTTCGTCAGGGAAGGGGTTTATCAATGTGACCAGCGTTATAATCTCACTGTTAACAATAAGTTCTCTGCACTAATTTTGAATTCTGATACCATTTTCATATAAGCAAACATTGTTTGTTTTGCTTTTTATGACAATCTATGTAAACTCTATGCAAACTACGTGAAAATCTTCATTATACGAAATATATATACAACAAATGAAACATTAGCTTAACGTTCCTATTTTAAAAAATTAATTATTCACTAAAAAAACATTTAGAATATTTACAAAATTTTAATGCAAATTATTTTATACAGGTTTGCAGCCTGGATGAATTGCCGTGGTTTTTTGTTTTGTTTTGTTTTTGGTTACGGCAAGTGTTATGCATTTATTTTCCTTTTGTATTTGTTGCAGCATTTCATGTAATGTTTTCATCGAGAATGAATTGCTTGCTATTGTGACTGTACATGTTATCATATTTCTTTCTTGCAGATCAAAGTGAAAATTCTGACAAGGTCAAACCTGATACAAGAAGGAAGACATTATATGCCAACCTGCCATGCATCTCTAAGGCTAAAGCATTTGGTAATGGTGTATGCTTTGTTAAATCAAATCAAATTTACAAAAAAAAAAAAAAAGTTAAATTTACAGAGCAGGAGATATATACTTCTAAAACAAGTTAACATCTAAATAAAATATGTTTTCATACAGGCTGTGTGAGTCACAGCCAGGGAAGTTGTGGCTAGGGCTTCATACACAGAAACAAAGTGATTTAACACCTAAATAGTAGAGAATAGAACAGTGAGACTGCAGATGCGTGATCTATTCACCAAAACGGCTTCATTAAGCTAAAGTTGTTTTGATGACTATAGTGTCCCTTTAAAGCTGAATTTGAAAAGCCACTTAATATAAGCTCCAAAAGTATGATAAATCTGTATGACAGGATGTTTGCAAATGCAGATAAACAGTAACACCATTGACCTATCTATTTTCTAACCATTGCAACCTCGCCCTCAAAGACCTGCAGCTTCAATGGCTTACCCATAGTTTCTTGAAACGTATCACCACCTCTTTAATTAAAAAGTATAAATGCTTATATTTCTTATAATTGTTCCGTTTTAGAGAATTTAAAGTCAAGGTCATGTAGAAGCAGACATGTGACGGGTGTGGAGGGGGAAAGTGTAACTCTGCCATTGGATCAGTCTGGGATCACACACGCCACATGGGAACTATGTACTGGAGAGAGAAATATTATAGCGACCACGTTCTCTGAGAAAACTCTGAATATTCAAGATCGCCGGTATAACGGACGACTCTCTAGTACACCGGATGGATCCCTGGTTATTTCTAAACTTACCAAGGAAGACCAAAGCGTCTACAACACAGACATGTTTGTAAATCAGGTATATCGCTGTGAACAGCGATATAACCTCACCGTAATCAGTAAGTTATTGAGCAATACTTATTTTACATTATTATACTATTGCGTTGTAGATAAAAGTTATTAACAGTACATTTATTACATGCAGAAAATTACACAGACAACTGGCTGCCTTGAGCTAGATTTCTGTTTCTACTGACCAGTTTGTTTGTTGTTGCTAATAGTATAATACAGAATATACAGTGTACATAATATTTAGTGTTTGGCATTGTTCTTTCTGTCACAGTGAGAATTTTATTCACATTTTCCTATGTTGTACATGATCCCAGGTAATCGCTTTTCCTTTGTTTTGCAGAACAAAGTATCCGAGACATGATGTCCAAACCTGGTACAGAACAGACAGTTTATGCTGATATACCATGTCCCGCTAAAACATTTGGTAATGATCTATACGTTCTAAAATAACAAAATCGTATATCCCATAAACACAACTGAAAACAATATCCGTATTCACTAAACTAAAAACGCTTGTGCTTGCCCAGATTGCTGGCCTTTGAAAGACTTCTCAATGAGCTGTATTACAGGAGCCTATGATTTGTGAAAAAGGCAGAGGACATGCAGCAGCTGCAGATACTAGATCTGCAGCCTTTATAAGCCAAGATTTCATTTATCAAAAGAAAACATGCAAAAGAAATTACATTGTTTTATTTTGGCTATATCTACTATTTTTTTTTTTTATGTAGTATTCTTTTAATGGCCACATGATTATCACTTTCCTTATCGACAGTAATTCTCTCTATTTTTCTCCTCCTTCCTAATTAGCTATGACATATCCCGTACTATTAAATGAGGGGAGAAGCAATCTATATTTGATACCAAGGTGGTTAGCTCCCTGTGATATTGTATTTGTGCAGGCATTATTTAAGTCAATGCCATGCAAACATTATGAATGAGACTGTAGCTCCATCCTTACATGTGACACGAATGTGTTGACTGTGATTGTTGTAGCTAGGGAACAGGTGACAGTGTCTTCCCCTGCCTAACAATTTCCCAAAATACCTTGAATTTGTGTGCAAAATAGTGTGACAAATGTCAGCTGCACAACTATCCTCAAATAGAAGCTGGAATTACGAATTTGGCAAGAAAACTCTTTGAAGTCTTTTCACATCTCCGTATGGTAGACAGTCTGAAGCATGTCAGCTATCACTATTTCCCCGTAAACAAACACAGCCTCACTGCCAAGAAAAATCTATCCTTCATTTTACATTTTTATGCTTTTGCTAAAATAAAATGCAACTAGAGAAATGAGATCAACTTTTCAGTCAAACACTAAAAGTAGTTTTTTGGTTTTTTTTAATAAATGTATCGATGTAATTATTTGTATTTTTTTTTATTTTTTTATTAGTCGATTTAAACACTGAGCCTTGTAGAAGCAGAGAGGTGACAGGAATAGAGGGAGAAAATGTTACTTTGGAGCTGGATCTGACGGGAATCACGTTTGTGTTGGAGAAAGAAACTTTATTGCCAATACTTACCCTGGGAAACCTGTAGAGGTTCTAGATCCGGTTTATAATGGAAGACTTTCTAGTACACACGATGGATCCTTGGTCATTGCTAAACTGACAACGAAAGACCAAATAATCTACAATGCAGATCTGTTTGTCAAGAAACAGGTATACCGATGTGATCAGCGATATAATCTCACTGTGATCAGTAAATTATTAACCAACACTAATTTTCTTTTATGGTCAAAATCTATAGAGTAGAAATGGGTATAGATTTATATTTTGAGTAAGATAGTTAGAATAGTGATTTGGTACCACAGGTTCTGAATGGAATAAAGTAATAAGGGTAATTGGAAAAGTCAAGATTGTACCCATTCTTTTAAAAAAAAAAAATTTTTTTTTTTACATTCTTTCTTTTATTTGGGTAATATAATTGGCAATGAGGGGGGCGGGGCCTGACTGACATGGCGGACGGTCGCACTCTGCAGGAGCTCCCTACTATCTACTCTCTCAAGCGACTCACTGGGACTCCTGCCACACACAAACTGACACAACTATGGACTTACCGACCATAGATGACGGCTGGAGTGTTCCGACGTGGAATGCCGACCGAAGGCCGGGTGCGGCCTAGCGGAGGCCTCGGACGGGGGAGGCGGCTGACCTCCCGTCCCTGGTCTCTCCTGCTGACAGGACCACTCGGGGCTCCGCACCCCCCACCCCCACCGGGCCGGGGGGGATATCCCGGTCCATCATACACAACATGAGGCTGGTGACGATCTACACACAGGCGATTACCAGAACCGAATGACTAAGGGGGCAGTGCAAGCCACGTGGGCGCTCGGCGAAGCAGCGGCTGAAATGGGATACGAGGCCAGGCTGGAGAGACTCTTTCACGAACTATGGCCCAAGCTGGAGGTACTGATGAACCGTCCGGCCCAAACCCACGTAAAAGCCAGCCTCCCACATGTAGAAACAAGCGACCTATGACAAAACGAGTCCCAGCATATCAGAGGGGTAAAACAAGCCTGAATAAGGCGGCACCCCAACCTTGGACCAGACAACGAAGCACAGTTCACAAACACCCAGCCGGATCCAGAGACCTACCTAAGGGCCCAAAGCTGCACCCACAGCGGCAGGGACGCGGTACCAGGCCTCGCATGGCGCCCGACGACGGGTCGACCCAGCCTCTATGAGCAACCGAGTCAGTGGATTACAGGTGCAGGCCTTTGTGGAGACCTGGGGCCGGAAGGCGGCCGCCATCAACCTGCACCATGCTGCACTCTTGAGGATTTCCCAAGACGACGGTGCCGTCTATTTCATCTTACTGGACCGCGCTATGGCCCTACCCAGCAGCGGTATAGGCTAAACCAGCCTCTTGGACTGGCAGCCTGATTTATAACACTCATTACCAAGGACTTTGGGGGACCTGGCCCAAATGGCTTGCATGAACTCCCCTCACTGGACTTCCACCCACGGACACACTTACCACATGGCTTAATGGTATCATCTAGTGGTTGCATTTAGCTAATATGTATGACATACTTATGTATAACGCCTTGCATTTAACTGCTACCCTTACAGCAGCCTACGTTGAAAATTTGTTGTATTTCTTTGTTTTATCATTTATATTGCTGCCTGGAGATGCGTATCTGGGACCCGGCCTACTACAGTCGACTTCACCTGCATAACTGCCACTAAGCAAGTCGACCATTTTGTATTGAGATCCCTTTGTTCATGGTCACAATATATCAGTCTGTCTATAAAGCCACCTCTGCATGCAAGCCCTAAGGTCAGAATTGCATTAAATTAAACTACTACCGTTCAATCGACCACTCTCGTGGCCTAACTGCCTAAGCACACGCCACAACATACTTCTATACTAAGATACACTAACTTAACTGCCCAAGTATTGCAGTACTGTATGTACCTAACTTGCTTAGATGCAAGCTGTGCTGTTTATGCTAACCTTTAACTTTTACAGTTCTGCTTTTGTTCAAACACATAATTCTTATGTTCAAAAAAAAAAAAGAGGCATTACTAATCTGGAAATATGATACTTTATTGATGTCTTAACCCAACGATGTAACTCATACGTACGTTTTTCCTGTTTTCTCTTTTGTACCCCATCTTTAATGCCTTAAATAAAATAGATTGGCAATGAGAAACTTGGAAATGCTTGTAATACCACTTATAGATAATACCCCTCTTTAAAAAAAAATGTTTAAAAATCTGATAAAATTAAATGAGCAATGACAATTGATAAATAAGAAGATGCAGGCCAAGACAACATTTTAAATGACTATATATCATAACATAATAAGATTAATTTAGAAAAGAACAGGAAAGTAAAACAAACCAAGGCAGAAAAGACCAGGAAAACAGGAAACTTACTGAAACCATAAGGAAAACGCATAACTGTGAAATTGATATTAAAAAATAAATAAAAAATAAATTGCTGCCTCAGTCCACTTAATCCTTTATCCATAGTTGTACGAGAAATAAGAGGGACTGTGGTTGAGAGGTCCCAAGAATAATGGTCTCCAGAGGTAGTGATTGTAGTGAGCTTGTGGTTTTTGATTCAGGGGCAAAATCTGCAAGGAGGAGGCAATCTCCTCGATGGCTAAACTACATTCTTGACCCATTATTTTTTAATGCATTACAGAGAGTGCTTTAAAACATAAATGTAAAAAAAATACATAAAAAGATACATTTTATTTCCTACAAAACTCCAAGATGCGTAGGATTAGCAGTGAGTATCTTTCAAACAAGGACTGATTATTTTACATTGCCTTGCTGAGATTTTCCATATGCTATCGTTTATGGGCACACCAAGGGTTTGTGTAACTTGTAGCTCAATCCTCAGTTTTCTGTTGTAGGTGAATTACAACTCCCAAAAATCTAAATCCTGGCTTTATATACAGTAGTACTTTGCAGCAACAAAAGGAAACCCTGCAGAATAGAAGGGAGAGGGTAAGGAAGGATGGGCTTGTATAGCAAACCTAATTTGTATTAATGCTAATAATGAAATATGACAGACAAATAAAAAAGCCTGTATCCTTACCTACACATTGATTAGACAGATTAGATCTCCATCTCTTAAAAATTCCATGCTCTCATTGAAAAGAGAAGGGTAGGTTCCAAATCTGGTATCTGTCGCCGAATGATCTAATCATCCTTGTCAGACATTCAGTGCATTGCAAGTGCTGTGTTTTCTATAAAGTAGTAAAGAAGAAAGAAAAAAATTTTTTAAGTGTTAATGTGTCAGGAGACATTGTACATGGAGCATATGAAATTATTTGGGACATGAGTTTGTTTAGACCCATTTAAATGCAAAAAATGTTATGGGCTTGTAATATAATCAATGAATTGGGGAGCAATGGCTGAGTAACCTCTAATGGAGTTGGAAAGACGAGAACCAAGGATTTGATTTAATATTATTGCATAAGTTTCCAAAGGATTTAATATTTTTGGATAAACTTTTTTAAATGATTTAAAAAAAATATTAACACATCAAAAATATCATAAAAAATAAAAAACAATATATATATAAAAAAACTATTACAAAATTAAATATATTTCACAAGATGAAATCATTTAAAAAGTTTATCTGGAAAAATAATATCACTTGGAAAGCTTATCCAACAATATTAAATTGAAGCCTAATTTGCAAGAGAAGTCGTGGGTGAACACCATAAGGACAGTCCTGGGTGAGATATACATTTTCCATGCATTATTTATTATACATAGTTTTGTAACTAAATTATTGCAATATGATAAACTATTTAAAAGTAACTGAATTATTGTTATATGTGAAGCTCTTTAAAAGTAACTTATAGTGTTGCTCTCAATATTTTCAGAAAATCCAAACACCGCACATCAAAATCTTGAGCTTGACTTTCCGTGTCTTCCTAGAGATTCAGGTAATGGGTGAACTCTCTTATCTTGGTTTGGGGTGTACAGTACACAATAAATGGAATTATAGAATAACCTAGTTAACCAAACTTGTGAAACTGCATCATGAAACTAAACACTGTTTTTGTGATATATTTGTAGATCATTAAACTGATAGCATCCATACCACAGCTGCTATCCATTTACACATAGCCCAGTCCACTGTTTAGTTCAAGTTTCTCTACTAGATACAATTGATACATCCTGCCTGGAATTCTTGTTCTGTACTGGCTGATTGACAGGAGTAAGAGTTGGAGTGTCAGGGGTGGCGGTCCGGTGACCGGGACCCAGTATGCCTGATCTTGATATTAGGAGTCACTGTGTGGAAATGGATTATCAGGGCCTGGTGCACGGTAACCACATGCCCCCTGGTGTTGAGCACCAGCGTTTGTGCGGCCACATACCAGGGCCTTGATGCAGCTTCTGCAGATCCCAGGTGCCAGATGACAATAAGCAGACCTCCCAGGATCTGAATAGGGAGGCTCTGCAGCAGATATGTTTCCCGTACATAAACAAGGTAAGACTAGAATAGACACCAAACAAGAAGACAAGACAAAACTAGGAGAACCCAGAACCGGAGCAGGACAGAAAGCAGAACCCAGAACATGTACACAAGACATGAACAGGGCAGGACAGGACTGTACATGAACTGGGAATACAAGACAAAATAATACAAGACAAGAGATACTAGGCAAAACAAGAGGAGACTTAACTAAGTACTATATATGTAAAACATTGGAGATTTAGACGTACATAAATGGCCAAGATGAATGCAGCCCACCACTGCGTCAAAGTCCTCCAAATACGGTGGGTTCCTATCTCCCTAGATATGCATGACTAAATAAACAATAATAAAACACACACAGCATTTACCTGCAAGAAAGGGCAGAGGATTTGAAACAACTGCCTGCAGGAACCAACTGAAACAAAAGGATTTATGGAAAAGGAATGGGTGTGGCAACATAAAACAACCATATAAAGGAATTCAGGAGACTGGGAATTCCAGGAATGGAATAAAGGAATGAACCCAGAAAACCCAGCATAAAGAAAACCAGACATGGAATAGAAAACCAGAAAAACCAAGAAAAACTAAACAAGAATTGTAAAAAGAGTACTGGATACCAGAAGCCATGGCCAGACATCTCCGCAGAACAGAGCAGGATGTGACATGGAGTTATACCGTGGCAAAACCAATCCAATTATTTTTAATCTGGCTGTATAGACCAGATATTTGCACAGTAACCACTTCAGCAAGCTGACGTGGTTAGGGTGCTAAGAGTAACCTTATGAAAAACACAACTTTGGAACCACCTACAGAGAAACTATTTTATGCTATTCCCAAAAGATACATTAGAGCTTCCACTCTAATGTAGTTCAGTTAATCTATAAATCGTCTTGAAGCAATCTGTAAGATTTGCAGAAATGTATTGACAGGCGCTTTTTTTTTTTTTTTTTTAAAGGCAGAAAACCAAACAATGAACAAGAACCACATTACCGTACTGTGACTATTGTAAGACTGTCATTGTCTCTGTGCATATTCATCATTGCTTTATGTTTGCTTATTCACTACATCAAGACAGAGGTCCAGAATGTGAAAGGCACAATGAGAAAAAACTCCATATTTTGGTAAGCCAGGTTTGCATTTAGTGTTAACAATAACTTACTGCAGTTTCACTGAGTGTGATCTAATCTTTCCCATTATTTCTTACTTGCAGAAACACAATAGAAAATTCACCTCAATATCTAAACGAGGAATACTTGGAGAATATACAGCGATTCTAAATTGGAAGTCTTTCTAGCATTGATCATAACTATGTTTTTATGCTAAGCATTAGTTTTGGGACCCATTATTTAAAGAAACACTCTTGGCATCATAATAGGTTTATCGTAATTAAGTTGTTATGGTGCCAGGAGTTTCCCAGGCATATTCATACAAAGGTTGCCTCTAATGTCGGATCTCCAATCCCTCTAATGCATCCCGGTTCTGAAACTGACTAGCAGGAACTGCGGAGTACCGCTGAGCTGCTGAGTGCCTATTTGTAAAAAAAAAACAACATATACGTACCTTTTGTATTGGGCAGTGCTTTATGTATTGGGCACTCCTCATAGATACAGACCGCACAAAAATGTGAGATTTTACTCATTGTTCAGCGCAAGATGCAAGAAATATGGCATACATCATGGTCAGGTTTTTTTGTGCATGTGCATTAGGATATTAGGATATTTTAACACCATGTTAATACCATGAATTGCTAGCACTATAAAAAAAATCACATAAAGCTATGATCATTTCTCTTTTGTGTCCTTTAATTGTGTTCTTTTTATAGTTTTGTCTCTTACTCTCTCTGAGCAGGCTTATTTTTATTTTTTAAATTCTTTATTTACGTACATGCACGCAAGCAGTCACTATTTCTTGTGAGAGTCCTATAACATAAAACATGGTCTTATACAGCGATCAGTGAGCCAATTAAACACAATGTATACTATAAATGCATGTATGACTTACATACATCACTGTTATCGGCATGTTTTTCACACTCAATTCATGCTGTCGCTAGGGTTGGACATACTGCTTGTGTACATTGATTACAGGGTTTTCTGATTTCGTTGACGTGGGCCAGTTCCACATTACGGTATACATCTAGATTTTGGCTTATTACATAATAAAACAATATTATCATATTTTTTGATGGTTCACACTAAGATTAGTAGATGTTGATTCTCACCGAGCCTTCAGGTCATCATAGTGTATTTGGGGGAGGCAGTAAACGGACCCTGGTTTACATACTGGGCTAATTATGTGATGCAAACCGTAAATAGGTCTGGAAAGAATTGTACCAACTAAAGAGACTGCCCCTCCTAATTAGGGCCATTCAAGAGGTAAATATTACTGCTGGTTCCTAAGTTGCACAAAAATTCTTTGAATAGTAGGAACACAAATTGTGGTGACTACACTTTGCAAATCATTCTCTAATCATTGTCCCGAAAGGCATTCTAGAGAACACAGTCAGGGTTAATTTTGAAAGTGTGGGTTGTCACAGTTTGACCAGGGAATTGTATATACTATGCCATAACAGTTCATTAGGAAAAATGTTTCAGCTCAGATATTTTTCCAATTTTACATTTTACCCACCAAAGTGTACTTCTCTGGTCCATTCCTCAAAATGTCTGATTTAGTGAGTTATCCTGTGACAATGTAATGTGTTCTCCTGATATTTTAGTTTACCTTGTTTAGACATATTGAGTGGGGAAAAATACGAGAAGCTTGGAATATTGATACATTCACCCAATCATGATATATCAGAGGAAAAATGGATGTATTCAATGTATTATTCACATTCATTAATTAGATTGTGTTGGACCAGATAACTGTAGTTATCCAGGGTAGCTCAGATTTAAAGGGCATTCTATCATAGCTGGTTGATTGACAGGAGTCAGAGGTGGAGTTACACCCAGGGTAATCAAAGGGGCATTCAATCATAATCTGTCAATCAGCTCAGTTGATGGTATTATGAGTCTATGGGTGCCATCCACTGGTTTTCTGTTAAAACGTTTTTGATGTTTTATAACAAAACCAGGGCTTACCCTGGTGCCCATAGCTCTCACTGTCTGCAACCACACAGGTAATGTGGATATTGCATAACTGCTTTATCAAATGCAAATCTGTCCATCTTTGGACACTTAAGACTCAAAGCACAAAGGGTGGGTTAGCGCAGGGCTCTCAGCCTCTCATTGCAGCCTGCACTTTCATCAATTGAAGCCACATTTTATTGATCTTGACACAGTTCACACAGAGGGAACCTACTGTTATGTGTGTAGCTATTTTTGTGGCCACTAGATGGCAATAAACATGTACAGAATATCCAAATTCTGTGCTTTTTATAATTGTACATGCATATTATGTAAACATTTCTTCTGGTTTTCAGTGGATAAACACATTCCAATTAGAAAGATAAAATACGGTTACATCATGGAACAAGTAAGAATGTCATGCCCCTGTGATGCAGAGAAGTCAAAATTATGGCAAAAAATAAAGTGAGAAAGTAACACATATATTAATGTGTGCCTTGGAGCACTGTGTATGCAACTGCAGGCAGAACCTTTTCACATGAGGACAAGTCTTGTCCCATAATTATCTGTACCGCAGAGGATTATGAGATAAGTAGATTATCCCCAAGGAGCAGTTCAGACCATCACATAAAATGTTTTGAGCTGTTCTATAATAGCAGCCATACTACAGCTGTGCACAGTCTGTGGGTAGATGAAATTGAGGGTTTTTATTGAATGTGTGGTGTGTACACTCTAAGCACACATATAGGGACAAATGTATATAAGCAACTTAAAAACAAAGTGTCTCAGGCTGCTTGATTGATGGCCAAATTGCTGCCACTATGACCCACTCTCGTAAACGAGTCTTGGCGCCGGATACAACTTTGCAAAGTGCTTTTGGTGCTTACACTAATCTTTTAAAAAGTTTGCTTTCTGAACGCTTCCATCTAACTCATGCCAATTCAGTCTTTTTACATGAAAAAGTAAATACATTTCTCCTTGTTATATCTTATTATATGATAATATAAAACCATGGAGCACCTACTTTTCTATGGGAAATAAAATCCTTAATTTGACTGCTTTAGAATTACAAATACTTGTTTATGTGTCTTTATTTTTAAGCATGTATAACAGAATAAATGTATATATGCTATAATATATTTTTATTGGACATTGCCACAGGCAACATTGTAATTGTATTGGCAATTTAAATAGACGCTCCTCAGGTTAGTGTTAGGATACATATCTTAAAACTACGGCACACACCTGATGTCTCTACCGCCCCAAGTAGGCACCACATTAGTTTCACACTCTCGGACACCTTCACCAGCATTTTGGATGACAAACGCTGTAGCCTTGCTCACATGTCATTGCTGACTCCCATTCACATTTTGAGGTTGTGGCTATCAAGGAAAGACTGCAGGCCTATAAACAGTTGAGCTTTACAATTGTTCGAGGCCCTGTTGTGGTTTTTAGTTTGGTTAGCCAAGAGTGTGTCTTTCTATAGCTAGAATACAATACTACAATAGAATGATAACTCTACACTTCTCTTTACTATTACTTCCTAAATGGGCTCCAGCATAGGGCACAGGGAGACTCAGATTTTTGCTGCAACAATACTCTCCGTTCTCAATACATACTGGAGACACCATACACAATGATAGACCAGCAGGGCACCTTACTTACTGACATTTATTTTCTATACCAAACGTGGTACCCCTACTTTGTCCTTCTTCATTGGGCCTCCCGTATTCATGCCCTTAAGGGTTAATACATCAGGTCTATATTCAACATATGTTTGGGGACGCAAGGGCCAAACGTAACGTTTTCCAGCTCAACAGAGTGCACTCATTGTCCAATGGAAGGTATTCTTTGTTTATTGTGTAACTAATATTAGTGGAATTCTACACGTCATTAATGTGTGAGGTACTTAAATGTTGTACAAGTTCCATTTTTTTTATATTTCTGTATGCTCAGATCTGTTGTATCATTATAGCCTTAATTATACTATTCTATATCTTACTGTATTTCCATTGTTAAAACAATACCCTAACTTTCAAAATAAAGAATTTAAAAAAAAGAAAGACAGACAGAAAATGAGAGTAGACGTATTACCAGTCCTTAGAGTGGCTGGACTTAACGCTAGTATAGGGTGAAAAGATTAATTTGCAGTGTGAGATAAGCCAAAGTTCTTGGGTAACAGAATAGCAACACCTCAACTAATCTTGCTGGGTCTGGATGACAAAGAACTGGGTCAATATAAACTAAGCCAGTTCAAAACTAAGGAATTACCAGACCTATTACCTGACTTGCTTCCAATAATAAAAGGGCACTATTTTACTGGTGCAGAGGGCATAAGTAAGTAACCCCAGTGAATTGGCCTATAAACTCCTGTGAGCCAAGGCAAAGCCGATATTTAAAGGAACACAATAGTCACCTAAACAACTTTAGCATAATGAAGCAGTTATAGTGTATAGGTCATGCTTCTCAGGTTTCACTGCTCAATTCACTGCCATTTAGGAGTTAAATCGCTTTGTTTCTGTTTATGCAGCCCTTGTCACACCTCCCCTGACTCTGATTGACACAACCTGCATGAAAAAAAAAAACTTATTACACTTTCAATCAGATGTAATATACCTTAAACAATTGTATCTCTTTCTTTGTAAATTGAGCTTTAATCACATACAGGAGGCTCTTGTAGGGTCTAGCAAGCTATTAACATAGCAGGGGATAAGAAAATCTAAATTAAACAGAACTTTCAATAAAGGAAAGATAAACTTTAGATGACACTTTACAGGAAGTGTTTAAGGAGGCTGTGCAAGTCACATGCAGTGAGGTGTGACTAGGGTTCATAAATAAAGTGATTTAACTCCTAAATGGCAGAGAATTGAGCAGTGAGACTTCGGGGACATGATCTATACACCAAAACTGCTTCATTAAGCTAAAGTTGTTTTGGTGACTATAGTGTCCCTTTAATAATGTGTGAGCAACACTGTGGGCTAATGCTTTGCATCACTAAGTGACGCAGAACTACAACATATAGCAGCCGTTTTGGCTGCAACCGCTTTGATAATGACATAGGATATTGCGAGATTTGAGTGAGTTCGGTTTTACAGTGAGCACGCAGCTATGTATCTAGCTTGGTGGAAGTTTTTGGGGTAACCTCCATAACCTCCGCAATATAAATCAGTGAAAATCTGGTAACCTTGTAACACATATTTTTACGCCATGGCTGCGTGTTACCAGGGCGGATCCCATAGGCCAACTAGGTGGCCGCCTAGGTCGCTGCTTAAGGGGGGGGCGTCGGCCCTGACTTTATGATTGTTGGTGCCGCGGCTGCCCCTCTATTAAGTTTGCGCCACGACCGCCCCTCTATTATTTCGGCCGTTGCGCCGGCCATGTTACGGGGCGCGGCGCTAGGGATCTTCGCTGCTCACTAGCGCCCAGTAGAACCCTGGTCCGATGGCATCCACATCAGCCCTCAGAGCCAGGCCCCCCTCCCAGGCACCCACTGTGACAGCAGAGCGAGGGCACTTTATCGCTCACTCCCGCCCTGTCAGTACTCTTTCATGGTTGTGATTCAGGCCCTCATGTCATGATGTGTACTAGCACAATGTCCATGTTTTATATCATTGTGAAAAGCTCCCACATATAACAGAGCTCTGTGACAGGCAGGGAAGGTGTATTCACTATGAGGTTTCCTGATAGCTATGTTAATTTCCTCCATATTATTATTATTATATTTTATATATACAGTATTTAGCCATCAGCTAGCCTTGGCAGACCCCCAGGTGCCAAGCTGCCGCCTATGGGGCCCAGCTGGGTGTGACAGTCACCTCAGCAGACAGGCTCCGCCCATTTCTCATCGTCAGAAAAGGAAGCTTGTGATTGGCTGCCTTAGACAACCTACCAACCAATCACAGGCTGGTTTACTTGACAGCTGGAGGCTGATACATAGCTCTGACAGGAGAGAAGAGGCCAGTCAGGGAGGAAAGACTGACCTACAGCTTCTCTGACAGCCTGACCTGCAGCTTCTCTGACAGCCTGACCTACAGCTTCTCTGACAGCCTGACCTGCAGCTTCTCTGACAGCCTGACCTGCAGCTTCTCTGACAGCCTGACCTTCAGCTTCTCTATCAGCCTGACCTGCAGCTACTCTATCAGCCTGACCTGCAGCTACTCTGACAGCCTGACCTGCAGCTTCTCTGACAGCCTGACCTGCAGCTACTCTATCAGCCTGACCTGCAGCTTCTCTATCAGCCTGACCTGCAGCTTCTCTATCAGCCTGACCTGCAGCTTCTCTGACAGCCTGACCTGCAGCTTCTCTGACAGCCTGACCTTCAGCTTCTCTATCAGCCTGACCTGCAGCTACTCTATCAGCCTGACCTGCAGCTACTCTGACAGCCTGACCTGCAGCTTCTCTGACAGCCTGACCTGCAGCTTCTCTATCAGCCTGACCTGCAGCTTCTCTGACAGCCTGACCT